AGAAAGGAAAACCAGCCAACACCAAATACAAGCAGACCAAGTTGTTTTCAGGATCCTCAGTGGTGCAACAAAGAAGATTAGATGAGCTGATTGTTTCCTATGTTGTTCAAGGTATGCATCCACTCTCAACAGTTGAGCAGAAGGAATTTATTGATTTGATTCAGGGACTTAGCCCACACTCATCTGTGATGTCAAGGAGAACACTGTGCAGAAGAATTGATTGTGAATTTGATTCAAAAATTAGTAGCGTAAAAGACTTGTTGAAAACAACCAAACATCTTTGCACCACGGCTGACATCTGGTCCACTAGTGTGTCTAGTTTCATAGGAGTCACAGCTCACTGGGTTCATAATGACACATTGGAACGCCAGTCTGTGACATTGGCTTGCAGACATTTTCCAAGTCCACACACATATAACCAAATTGCTGAAGTGTTGGATGAAATCCACTCTGAATTTGGGCTGTCACATGAGTGCATTGTGGCCACAGTGACAGACAACGGGTCTAATATTGTAAAGGCCTTTAAAGAGTTTAGCATCACTATAGAAGAGCAAGATGAGGAAGATGGTAATGAGGATCTGTCTTTTGTACACATTGATTCATCAGTTCCAGAGTATAATGAGAATGGAATTGTTTTGCCAACCCACTTGAGGTGTGCATGCCACACCTTGAGTTTAGTGGCCACCACAGATGCAAAGATAGCCATCAGAGACAATCCTAGTCTCTCTCGTCTCAACAATGCCACAATGGGTAAATGTTCTGCATTATGGAATGCATCAGGCAGACCAAAGAGTGCCGAGAAGCTCTCTGAGGTGTTAAACTGCGGGTTGATCACACCATGTCCAACACGATGGAACTCTCTCTATGACAGTCTCAACCAGTTGAACACTCAAAGAGGAAAACTTGGAGATATCATGTTGAAATTGAACCTACCTTCCTTCAGGGATGCTGAACTAGATTACCTGGAGGAGTACACCAAAATCTTGAAGCCCTTTGCAGTCGCCATTGATCGATTACAGGACCAGTCATCCTGCTATTATGCTGAGCTTCTTCCCACCCTGTTTGCTGTGAAATCTAAACTTGAAGCTTTACGTTCCTCCAATTTCAGATACTGTTCTCACCTTTTGCAAGCCATTATGGATGGTTTCAGAAGCAGATTCAGCAGCTTTCTACAACTTAAACCAGAAGTCAATGAGGCAATCCTGGCAAGTGTAACCCATCCATACTTCAAAATGCGCTGGCTACCCCAGCAATTGTCAGGGGAAAAAAAACGAATCCATGAACTAATGATCCAGTCAGCAGCAGACCTTGGGCTTGTCATGGAGAGTGGGTCAAGTTCAACAACTGCTGATGGTGAAGTGGAAGACTTTTTTGTCTTTACTGAAGATGTTGAGGTCTCTGGCAAGTCTACACACAGCAAAGCTGAACTGGAGACATTGCACTTTCTAGAAGATCAGAGAAAGGAGTTGGAAGTCTTGGACCAGTATCCACTTATTAGACAACTGTTTGTGAGGTTCAACACAATCATCCCCTCTTCAGCTCCTGTAGAACGCTTGTTTTCATTTGCAGGCTTAATCAATAGGCCACACAGACGACGCCTGAAACCCAATCTTTTTGAAAAGCTGGTAGTGCTAAAGGGTATCGAATAGATGGATATCTGAAACACACAGGTACACCATCTTGAGGAGTACACCATCAGTTTTATAATTGACTTTGTGTTATTGAGTTCTTGTTACTGAGTTGAAGTCATGATGGTGATAAAACGTAATAAAAGATGTTTGGGGAAAAAAAAAATAGTTTTGTTTTTCCTACAGGGCAGGGGAAGGGAAGATCATTTCTAATCAGTAGTACACATCTAAATGTTTTTGTTTTGCATTCAGAATATGTCCAGATATATTTCAGCCTAATAGGGATGCCTGCACTTGATGGCCAATTTCACATGTATTTTGTGTATACTTGTAGTCAAGACCGCCTAAATCAAGACCAAGACACTACCAAGACCAGAGGGTATCGAGACCAAGACAAGACCAAGACCAAGACAGACCGAGTCAAGACCGAGACTCCCTTAACTTTTGTGTGCTGTTGAGGACTGACATGACGGGTACTGATTGGTCCCAAAGTCATCTGACAAAACAGCTAACACCTCCAACAACTGTCTAAGGGATGGGAAATATGTAACTGATTTCAATTATACTTAATTTGTAGATAAAATTGTAACATCAAATTGAAGATACACAATTATAAACTTGAAATTGCATCATGTCCCATTGTAGTAGTACTAGCCAAAAAACACTGCATGATATAAACCTCCCTGAAATGGATTAGGCCTGTTAAGTCAACACAATGTGATATGCAGATGTTATTTAAAGGTCAATGGTGACATTTATTTAGTCAAACAGGGAGGAGAGAGAAAACAATTCACATTATAAAGCAGTGGTTGATTGCACTTCAGGAAAACTAAAGACGGCAACATCTTATAGCCTAGCCGTGCACAGTGGGGTCTCATTAGAATGCCTCCTCTACTAAAAACTCTCTCAACTGGGGCAGAAGATGCAGGGACTGAGAGGACTTTCAAGGCAACACTGTGTAGACTG